ACGGGACTCCTGGGGACAGCGAGGGGACAGCGAGGGACAGGGAGGGTCACTGGTCAGTGCCAGCCCCTAGGCTTAGATATTGAACAGGACACGGGACTCCTGGGGACAGGGAGGGTCAGGGAGGGTCACTGGTCAATGCCAGCCTGTAGGATCAGACATTGAATGGGACACGGGACTCCTGAGGGACAGTGAGGGGACAGCGAGGGACAGGGAGTGTACTGGCCAGCACCAGCCCATAGGCTTGGACATGCAATGGGACATGTGTCTGCTGGGGGACAGCGAGGGGACAGGGAGGGTCACTGGTCAGTGCCAGCCCCTACCCACGGACATGGAGAGGGACACAGGATTCCTGGGGGACAGGGAGGGTCAGGGAATGTCACTGGTCAATGCCAGCCCCTAGGCTCAGACATTAAATGGACCACAGGTCTCTTGGGGACAGAGAGGGGACAGCGAGTGTCACCGGTCAGCGCCAGCCCCTACCCACGGACACGGAACAGGGCACTGGACTCCTGCAGGTATGAGGGGACAGCGAGGGGACAGCGAGGGGCAGGGGTGGGGAGAGAGGGGCAGAGGGGGCTCAGTGTGGGCAGGGGGCTCTGGAGTGGGGAGAGAGGGGCAGAGGGGGCTCAGTGTGGGCAGGGGGCTCTGGGGTGGGTCTGGGCTGCTCAGGGGTGGGCAAGGAAGGACAGAGGGCTCGGGGGGTGGGTACCGGGTGTTCAGGGGTGAGCAGAGGGGCTCAGGGGTGAGCAGGGCAGTGCCAGCCCCCTGGCCAGCCCGGGCAGTGCCCCCCAAGCCCCAGCCCAGCCCGGGCTCCGTGCCTGCTCCTGCAGCAGCGGCTCCATGCGCTCCTCCCACTGCCGGATGCGCTGGGACAGCTCCGTCTCCTGTGCGAACTTCTGGGAGCTGGCCATGAACAGCTCCTGGGGACAGGGACAGCGATGGGGACGCCCCCGAGCCTCCTGGGGACGCCCCCGAGCCTCCTGGGGACACGGTGACCATCTGGAGTCACCACCAGGTCCCCACACCAGCACCTACCACGTTCCTGCGCACCAGCTCCTCGTAGCCGAGTTCAGGGGGGTCTGTGGGAGAAGGGGTCACCAGAGGGGGGGACAGCACCCTGCCACCCCCATGGCAGGGACAGGGGACCCGCAGGGACAGACAGGCTGGGGAATTGGGGAGGGAAGGGTCGGTCAGCAGCTCACCCTGGGCTCCTTCCTCCAGCTCCTCTGGCGCCTCAGGCTCCATGTCCTCGTGCTCCACAAAATCATCATCTGCCGGATGGGGACACCCCTCAGTGTCCCATGACACCCCCTCAGTGTCCCCTGAGACCCCCCCCCAGCCTTCTGGGACCTCCCCAGACCCCCAGGAGGGAAAGAAAGGCTCCCCAGGCAGGAGGGATTTGGGGTTCTGGGTTCCAGCACCTGAGCCTCCCTCGCCGTCGGCCCCGTACTCCTGCTCCAGCTCTGGCTCCAGCTCCCTCAGCAGCTCCTGTGGGAGGAACAGCCCTGAGCCCCCCCAGAGCACCCCCAGAGCGTGGCAAGGGGGTGCTGGAGCCCCTCAGCCCCCCAGTTTAGCCCCAGCCCACTCACCCTCCGGCTCTGGAGCTTCCTTTGCGCCGCCAGCCGCTCCTTGAACTGCCGCCAGTACAGCAGCTCCAGGTCTGCAGGGATTGGGAACAGGGATTGGGGATGGCCCCTCTGCCCCCCCTAAAACAGGGGATGGCCCCTCTGCCCCCACCCAGGCCCTTCCCAGGCTCCCCTTGCCTGGTTTCAGGGTGTCCTTCCCCTCCATGCCCTCCCCACTGCAGGATCCATCTCCTGGTGTCCATTTCCCCAGTTTTGGGGTGTCCATTTCCCCAGTTTTGGGGTGTCTTTCCCCTCCATGCCTTCCCCACTGCAGGATCCATCTCCTGGTGTCCATTTCCCCAGTTTTGGGGTGTCCATTTCCCCAGTTTTGGGGTGTCCATACCCTCCATGCCCTCCCCACTGCAGGATGCAGCCCCTGGTGTCCCCAGGACAGGGAATGTGTCCCTGCCCGTGTCCCCTCACCTGCGAAGGTGGGGCCTTTCCTCCTGCTTTTCCGGCCCTCCGTGACGTTGTTGTCTGTGGGGAGCAGGTCAGGAATAATCACCGGATGGGAATTCCATGGATTTATCAAAGCTGGAAAAGCCCTCTGAGCCCACCGAGTCCCCCCCCCAGCACTGCCAAGGCCACCCCTGCCCGTGTCCCCAAGTGCCACATGCACAGGGCTGTTCAACCCCTCTGCAGAGGCTTTGAAATCCTTCTGGATCTCCATCCCGCAGGATCCCACGGGAATCACTCACAGGCTGCAGAGAACCATCTCGTGAAATCCTGCAGCTTCCTCGGGCCCTTCCTCTTCCTCTTGCCTCCAACCATGTCATCCAGGCCGTGTGGCACCAGGAAGGGCCTCCCTGCAGGTGACACGGGTGACACCGGGTGAGCTGGGAAGGGGAAGGGGCCCCTCTGGGTGTTGTGGGGCTGGAATGGCCCAGTGTGGGGACGGGGACACTGGAGGGTGTCCAGTGTGGCTGGGAAGGACCTGCCATGGGGATGGGGACGTGGGGCTGGGAATGTCCCTCTGTGGGGCTGGGAATGACCTTCCATGAACTGGGAATGACCCTCTATGGGGCTGGGAATGTCCCTCCATGAACTGGGAATGTCCTTCTGTG